TTTCCCTACCCTCCTCCCCATGCTAATTCCATGGTTTATAGCCTTTCTCCTCTCCTCTTTTTATTTTGGATGTAGGTTTAACCACTGTAAATTTGTTACCGAAAGGCTGGACGGGTGAGTCCTACATAGACATACAGGATAAAACTACTCTGGGACTGAAGCTGGCACCCACTTAGAAGCCAACGTGATGGGTGGACTAGCTCCCTACAGATACTACACAATCCTGTTCACAGTCTTTCCCGCTGATATCTAGGGAGTTTGGGATGCTGGGTACATGGAAAGCTCAACTGACTTGTGATTTTGCCTAAATGAGGCCCAGATTGTCTTGCCCTTCCACAATGTCACTGCAGAGGTCAGCGGATGTGTTTGGCTAATCTTTGTTGTACAGGATGGACAGCTGCCAGGAGGTGCAGTCTGTGAAAAGGTGCAGGATTCAAGCTGGTATCTCTCCTTCTCCACTTGCTCCCAAGTAACCAACCTCTGGTGACTTCTCTGGCAGACAGTAAATGCTAATGATTAGCTCCTGAAGGCTCTTAGGGTCTGAAGAAGTTTGAAAGATTCCAGATGCAATGAACAAACATTTTTTGTAACTGATTTACAGATGCAGTGGATGCCAACAACAGTCCTAACTGGCTGTGTTTCTTCCCTTTCAAGTGTGTGGTAATCACAGAATCACAGAACAGCTGAGGTGGGAAGGGACCTCTGGGGGTCATCTTGTCCAACCCCCTGCTCAAGCAGGGCCAACTACAACTGGTTGTCCAGGACCATGTCCAGGCAGATTTTGAATATCTCTAAGGATGGAGATTCTCCACAACCTCTCTGGGCAACCTGTGCCAATACTTGGTCACCCTCCCAGTGTTTCCTGATGTTCAGATGGCACCTCCTGTGTTTCCTGTGTAATGAGGTATCTGTGGAGGTTTTAATGCTGTGTGGATCATGCTGCTTTTACCACATTGTCAGATAGAGTGTTTAAATACTCAGAAGTCTAATACAGATGTGAAGAAATATTTTCTGCAAAATACTGTCTCCATGGTTTTTAGTGTGGTACCTCTGTCAGATGTAAGAAAATAACATTACATGGAGCTGAAGTCTGGTAGACCAGCTTAGAGAAAGATTCAACTATTATTTATCCACAAAACAGCTACAGAACAAATTTTTGGCACACTTAAATGTTCATCCTAATAGTAAAACCAGCCAATATCGGTAATACAGAAAATATCTCTGAAGGCTGAAATTGGTCTCAAATTAGAGAAAGGTTTTAACTGGACCCATAGTACCTGGGAACGTGGACACAAAATTGTCATAGTGCCTTATCATGATTAGTGTGACCTATCAATGGAGAGTTAGTGAGAATGGTAAAGGAGTAAATCCTGGAATCTCTTATGGCACATCAGAATAAAATCCTGAAGCTTTGCTCTTAAGGTTATTCAGTTCAGAGACTTGTTCTTTCTCAGGTGGCTTTTTGTATCCTCTTCAGACTTACCAACTCCTTTCAGGGTAGGGTGGATGGAGCTCCAGACACCCACACTGCCTTTCCTCAGCCTTTGACCAATGGCAAACTCAAGATGAAGCAGGGGGATACCCTCCAGGACTAGCAAAATCAGGAAAGGGATCATGAAGGCTCCTGAAATGGATAAGAAAAAAAAAAAAGATGTTTCCCATCAGTGAAGTACTACAATAAAGCACAAACTTCAGTTCTGAGGGCTTTTGCAACAGAAAGCGAGTTGTAAGCATACTTGTGGAAACCCTTCTCCAGTTTCTGAACAATGCCTTTGCCTGATTGCCCGAGCAGGGGACTTCATTACGTATGCGGTTTCAGGTAGGAATTCTTATTCTTCCCAAGTGACAAACATAAACGCAAATTCTACACTCCTAAGGTTAAACTTTGAAGAAGCCACCTTTGGATTGCAAGTGGAGGAAAGGTAGTTATTTTCCTGGAATGATTTCCTTTTTTTTCTGCAAAAGATTATGGTTTTATAATTGTGAATCATGCAAATTATATGAAATAGTTGAATGAACTAAGCAAGATGCCTTGAAAGATTAGGCAGGAGCCTGCGGCTGTCTACATAAAATAACCAATAACTTCCTGGCAACTGCATTCATCAGCTTTTATGTTTGAATTGAAGAGATCTGAAGTTCAGGGTTCAAACCATGTTGATTATGACAAGGCTGGTTAGCATAGGACAAGCTTTTTAAATTCATTTTTTCCTGAAGAAATTGTACCTCGGACATGGAGATAACATATAACACCACAGTGGAATACCAAAGTGCAGAGTCAAATACTTGAAAATTGCTACATATTAGAATTATGGTTGTCTGTCATTACAAAAAGTCTTTAACTTCCTAATTATAGGCAGCAAATAATATAAATGCTTTTTAAAAAATGCAAAACAGTATGTGAACAGTTCAGGTTTGAGTATTTGCTGATTTTTTCCTCATGTATGCAATGAAAATCAGATAACAGCGAAAGAGGAAATTTGAAGAACGGAAACTATAAGTTTGAATTCAAGGCAGTTGAGTGTTTTTTGGAAGATCTGAACTGCATGCTTTTCTGCTCCATGGGGTATCTTCTTGACATTGTCTACACCAGAGTATCAGAAATTATCATTGCTGCAAAGCATTCATTTTCTGTTAACTTCAATAAAGTCTGCTGAAAACCATATTGTTCTATCAAGTGGCCACTATTATAATGAAATCGGTCAGCTATATTTTTTGCTTTCCACTCCTGTGGAATTCAAATAATACTAGTTACTCACCTGTCTTTCATTGACATTTTTAAAGTTTACTAATCGAAGTTAGTAGTTTTGAATACATAAAATGCTATTCAAAATGGTGAGCACTTTGAAAATACACATGCCACACATCATGTTGAACGACTAATCACTGATGCACCTGCAAATATATTTTTTGTTGAAGCCAGTTGCCAAAGGTAGCTGTATAGAAGTGATGTTCTCAGACTTCAGCAAGGTCATTTAGCAACACAAAAACTTCTTACTAAAAACTTAACACTTTTCAAAATCAGTGTAGCTCATCTTGTATGCATTCAAAACTATCTATCACTGTAAAAACAGAGACACAAACTGAAGAGGCTTCAAAGGAGAGACAGAAGAGTAACTGACTTCAGATATATTTTTTATTAGTGAAAAACTGAGGGGCTTATTATGAACTGCTATTTGTAGAGAAGTTTGCTAAACTTCCAACTCTCTTTCTTCTGTGTCAGTCTATCACCTTGGGAAATGGATAATATAGACATCGTCACCAAGGAGGACAGTATCCCATTTGTTTTCTTCCCGACTTCTCACATCTCAGCTACACTCCCTTTTCCAGAGACCATGTAGTCCTTGCAAGAACAAAAGCCTTGCATTAGTGGGGAGCAGCTACCTGTTAGATCTAGGAGCCTCAAGCTGGTACTGTCTCACCTTGGAAGAAAGTGGCTATTTTGTAATGCCAGAAAGGAATGAAGAATGGTGGTCCATCCTAGATTTGAGGAAACTGAACTCCTCTAGTTGCAAATTCAAATTTAGCACTGTGGTCTTAGCTGAGACATGGTAGCACAAATGTTATCAGTGCTAAAGCAATCACTTCCTGACTTGTGTATTTCTGAACGTGTATTTTCACATGACAAATGTGTGAAACATATAGGGCATATTTCAGTTTTAGAGGGACTAGGATCATTTCCAAAACAAGGTTCTTCCCCTCTGTCTTCCCACCACTCCAGGGACTTCTACAAAATTACTGGCAGCAGTAGCTGCTAATGTCAGATGTAACGGAGCAGTCCTTTCTCCATGCCTTGTTAACTGGCTGCTGAAAGGCAACTACGCCAGAAATGGTGATGTACTCTTCAGCTGCCTGTGCCCTGGAGTCATTGCTGACAATGCAAAAGTCTTACCCAACGCCGGCAGAGGTCCTGGGACTTGTTGAAACTGCGTCAGACTCGGTCACTGCAAGGAACTGACTCCCTCTGTCCTTTCAGACAGTTTCTGTCCTTTCTAAAGGTTTGCCCCATTTTGTCTGTATGGACTTGTTTAGCTGTGCTGGAACATGCACTGACATGAACGTAAGGGCCCCTCTTCATCTGATTAGACATGCAGTGTATGCAGATTTGGACTCAAAGTGTTTGTTCTCTACAGATAACCCAACCTATTCCTGTGAATAACACTTCTCCCAACTGTTTTATTCTTGCTTTCATAGAAAACAGGATTTTTGCAGTGTCCGTGATGAATGCCCTCTCACTGTTGAGATCTGAGATCACCCTTACATCCCCATGGCTACCTTCCTACATGGGACGGTCAGTGGGACAACCTCCACACCCAGAGCCTCTGGCCTTTCAGAGAGACAAAGTTACTTATCAATGCATGGAGCTCCAAGCAGCCAGAAATACCTTGTGTGCTCCAACCTCATGTCAGGCTGACACACAGTTTCCTTCCTGTCATACTCTGTCCAGGAGCTCTCATGAGGGTAAGATGAGATAAGGACAAGATAATTGTGTTTATACCAGCAATTTTTAGTTCCAGAGTACTCTCTCTGTTTTAAGGCCAAGACACCTCCTAAGAGTCTGAAACCTGACCCTACAGAGTTTGTATGGCTGCTCCATCTGGATCCTTTCTCTTTATGTCCCACTTTGGATGCTGGATAGGTCTCTGCTGTACCACAATCTCACTTCCCTCTGGCAAACCCTTTCCTCAGCAATGGTAATTAAGTCCAGAGGATGGATCTGTACAACTACCTGATCCAAATATTCCTCATTTGCACTCAGGATAAGGCCTTGTCACCCTTTGAAACTCAACTTGCAGTGATTTTATATCGTCTCTTGAAACTTAAGAATGGACTGGCAGTTAGTTCTGCTCAGGTGCATTGCTTAACCATCTTTGCTCCTCATGGAGACACGTCACATTTTTTTCATCAGGTGACAGTAAGATTGCTTAAGGACTTGATTAGAAATTTTCCCTCTGGTCAAAGACCTTGTTGCTTAAGGAAATACACAGCCTTTATAGTCCTTTCAATCTATGACCACTTGTTTCTTATCATACCTGTCAAAGAAAATATTTATTTTGGTAGTTACTGCCTCTGTTAGCAGAAGGGAGAGAAGATCAGGCCGTTTCCTATGAAGCATTTCCTTTAGAAATCGTTCAAAGGTAGTCCCAACTTTTCACTTTCAGTAGAAAGCAGGCTGATGGATATTCTGATTTGGCCTCCATTTTTTCCATGCTTGAGACATTCTTGCAAGCCTTAAATGCAAAGTGCACCTCCACTCACACAGCTATAGCAGTCTGGGTAGACACCATGCCTCACCCTCCAAGATAGCGGGACTCAGTAACAACACTGTCCCTACACCACAACTCTCCCTGTGGGCAGCACGGTGCATCAAATTTGCTGCAAGACTCTCAGAATTGAACCATCTTCTGTGGTGGACATGCCACAAGGGCTCTATCAACCTCAGGAGATTTCCGGAGGTCTCGAGATACTTACAGAGGTACCTTTATTAAGATGTCATAAAAGAAGTCTTTAAGCATGACACAACTTTGACAGAGCAGTCAGATAAAGGGACTCCATGACCTTCCTTGCGCAGCCACAAAAAGAGGAAAGGATGCCCTGTGTGGAGCCATCTATCACATGAAAAAGGTGTGCTGTCCAACTCTGTGCTCACAGCTCCCCAGCTTCCTCACTACCTTAGAATCACTGGGAAATAATTTTCAGGTTCTGGGATGGGCACAAATGGAGAAGGTGGGTCTCTGTCCACCCCTTTTGTAGGTGGGTGAGACATAAAGCACATGGTGTGTGTATACAGCTGCAGTGCAGAATCTCTATCCTTATGCAAACAGATACAACTAAAACATTTCTAGCTTGAAGGGCTAGTCACGTATAGTACGGTAGCTCTGATAAGGTTAAAATGCAGGGTGTGCCATGTCAGAACTGGACAAATAAGTAAAACTACCTATATTTAGCTGTAGGAATATTAGTATATTTTCAAGAGAAATAAAATGGCATTTCTCAATTACGTATGTCACTTTTTTCTGTTTTTTGGGTTCTCCTCTTTCCAGGGTTCAATTCTAACAGCCAGCTCAGAAATCCAACTCTGCTGTATTTTCCATTTCTCTCAATTTCCCCCCAACCTTTCTGAAAGAAGCTATAATGGAAAAATAAGTGATAATGACTCTGCAAAGCTGCTGTATGGGACATTAAAAAAAATCAATGCTTTTTAAGCTGTCACAATTTTATAAACCTAACAAATAAACCAATGATCTGAAAATAAATGCTCTATAGATGTATATAAACAACGAGTAGTCTTCCAGTCTAAAAACCTTACAGCTGAGATATTAGATTCTCGTCCTGTTTCAGTACTGTATTTCAGAACACTTAATATATGGTTTGAACATCTGTATAGCTATTACTCTCTCTTTAATCTAATTGTTTCTAAAAATTGAAAAAGTTATTATTGCTTTCATATAATTCCTCATAAAGGGAAGACAGGTAGACTTCAGACAGAGATGTTTTTCTGTACTATCATATTCTTAGATCTCAACTGTAGTGAGGGTACCAGTACCAGCGATGTCATTACTGTCACTTCATTCAGTGTGGCTTACACAGAAATGAAACAGTTCTCCCTCACGTAGTGCCAA